TTTTTTTTTTTTTTTTTTTTTTTTTTCTGAGATGGAGTCTTGCTCTGTCACCCAGGCTGCAGTGCAGTGATATGACCTCGCTTCACTGCAACCTCCGCCTCCCGGCTTCGAGCGATTCTCCTGTCTCAGCCTCCTGAGTAGCTGGTACTACAGGCGCATACCACCACGCCCAACTAATTTTTGTATTTTTAGTAGATACATGGTTTCACCATATTGGTCAGGCTAGTCTCGAACTCCTGACCTCGTAATCCGCCCTCCCAGCCTCCCAAAGTTCTAGCATTACAGGCGTGAGCCACCGCGCCCGGCCCGGCCGACAGTCAGTTCTTAACAAGCACTCAAATATGCTAGGACCCGGGAAAAAAAAAAGACTTCTCAGATCTTAGGTAAGGCATAGACTCGTCTGCACGGAGGGCCGACACCTCTACCTACCAAGCAAAAGGCAAAAAGCCCGGAAGGGTGGAGTAGAAGCAAGCTGGAGGGCTCCAGGAAGTGTGTGGGGAGGAAGCTGCCGAGGTTGGAGCCAACCCCGGCAGCAGCGGGTTTGCACACGCCTAGCAGACGGAGTCCCAGGCCGATGCGTGCAGCGGTCACGAGCGCTTTTGGCAGCGCTGTCCCCTTCGATTCCGGTCGTCACCCAACCGTCCAGCCCCAGTTTGGGACGGAAACCGGGCTTGTAAAGTGGGCGGCGGCCAGTGCTCCCGCAGCTGAGTCACAGCCCAGCCAACTTTTACAGCGTTGCCCAGAAAGAAAATAAAAAGTCTCAGTCCCGGGGCCCACCACGCGCTTCTAATTCCCGCTCCCCTCTCAGTGTCACCTGACCCGGGGCAACTCCAGCCCCACTGCTGAGATGTTTCCCACTCACGGTGCAACTTCTCGCTCGCGCAAAGCCTCGTGGTACCCCTAGCGCTCTCCAAGCGCTAACAACCCCGCAGATGGGAAGGCAGGAGGGAGGGGAAGGGCTGCGTCCTCACCTGCAGGACACGGACACCTCCACCCGCGTGGCCGGGATGGCGGCGCTCAGCTGGTTCAAGTCCCCGATGCCCGCAGTGCTGGTGTAGCGGCTGTCCATATCGGGAGGAGGCGCCTTGGACTTGTCCAGCGCCCACCACCGGAGCTCGGGCGGACTGAGAGCTAGCTCCCTCAGTCAGGCGGGGAGGGGGTTGAGGGTGGAAGCAGAGGAAGGAGGCGGAGGCAGCGCGCGGGATGGCTGTGGGAAGGGAGGAGGCGGACCTCCGCGCAGAGCCGCGAGGGAACCGCGAGCCAGTCCTGGGTGAAACTGACGCTGCCGGAGAAGTGGCGCTCGGGGCTCCCGGCTTCCCCGCCCCCTCCCGGCAGGCAGCAGCCGGGGCGGGGGACACACTCCGTGATCCCCTCCTGGCTGGGGGGTGTCAGGCTTGGAGGACCCAGCAGGCAGCCGGGCGGAGTAGGTGGCACCAGAAGACGCAGACCCCTACCGTCCAGGAGGGCAAGCCCTGGCGGCTCTGCGTGCTTTTAGGTTCTGTCTCCACCTCTGCACACGCACACTCGCCTCCTGGGCCGCGACAGCTTCCTCCTGTCAATCAGGTGTGGACAGGAAGGTCTCGAAGTTTCCCCGCCTGAGTTGGAAGCTGGAGGTGGGGGCGCCTCTGTCGGTTCCTAACTGCCCCGTTATAAGGCCCCTCTCCCCTCCACTGGTTCTCATCTCACCCTCGGAGCTCTGGAGGGTCCCTCCTATTGTGCCCTCCGGCAAATGAGTCTGGTCCCAGCTTCTGGACTGCCCACCGTCGGCCACTTGAGTATTGGGAACAGTGGGGCATTGTGACGCTCTCCAACCTGGGAACGCGGTGGTGAAGCGGTCGATCAATATATGGGACAAGTGGGGGAGGGGTGGACTCTAAGGTGGAAAAAACAGTACTACTTGGGATTTAAGGGAGCAATCTGGATTCTGTCTCATCTCCTTTCTTTGGAGCTCAGAGGTCTAGCGGTGACAATCCTCCTACAGTCAGGGCTCTTCTGGATCCCTCGTTTCCAAAGGCATGAAAGTTCTGCCTTGAAAACGGGGGGCAGGGGATGTCACAACCATCTAACGCAGTTCCTTCACCCGACTTCCTCCCGCAAGACCTGGGACCTGACGGATAAAAGCGTAGAGAAGCCGGAGTGAGCGCAGCGTTTGGGAAACTACATTCCAGGGCAGCAAGACTGGTGCCAAGATGCAGTCGCACCAAAAGCAACAGCAGGTAGCCGCAGCGCCCCTCCAGTGCAGAGACGTTTGTTCCCCGCGCCTTACCTCCGGCCTCACCCGAGCGCCTTTGGGTCCCGGGCGCTCGCCACCAGGCGGCGACAGAGAGCAGAACGCGGCGCAGCTGGAAGGCGCAGGGTGGAGAGGGGGCGGGTGTCCGCCCGATTTAACGCTCCCAGCACAGAGTTTCCAGCTGGTTGGGCTAACTCAGGGAGGAACAGGTTTTGTGGTGGAGGACATGCCTTGCGCTGTAACATTTTAATCCACTCGCAGCCACCTGCCTAGAGAATCTATAGAGGCGGGTGAGAATGTGTAGGTGCAGTCGGGCCCTTCCCCTGCCGAGTGCACTTCCCGTTTCTTCTTCGTTTCCTTTCCTGATTTCCCCACCCACCGACTCTTGCTTTATTTTCCTTCCTCTTGTCCTGTTACAAATTAAACTGTAGTTTACTGCGATTTGGAAATGTCCTAAAACTCCACGCATTTCTGTTATGCTGCTCAAAATTAATTTGGCAAAGAGATCTAGATTTTTTTAAAGCCCACCAAAATTTTACTTTACAGAAGGCTACTGAAGAAATGAAAGTTGAGAACTTTAGTAGTCAACATGTGGGATACTTACTTCTAATTTTTTTTTCCGCTTTAGTGCGGTATAACTGATATATAATAAACTGCACATAATTCAAGTGCATCCATCATTCGATAAATGTCAACACATGTATCTCCCTGTGAAGCTATCACCAAAATCAAAATAATGAATCATTCCATCACCCCAACAGTTTTCTTATGTGGTAATCAACACCTCCTTTCATCACTGAAATGACCTTCTAGGCGGCCACTGAATCTTTAAGTCACTATAGATTAGTTTGTATTTTAAAAAATTATGTGTCTGGAATCATACAGCAGGTAGTATTTTTGGTCTGGCTTCTTCCACTAAGCAAAATTCTTCTGAGATTCATCTATGTTATTGATTGTATCAATAGTTCATTTTTTTTTAACTGAATAGTATTTTGTTTTATATATGTGCTATAAATTGTTGTCCACTTACCTATTGATGGACAATTTGGTTCTTCCAACTTTGGGCAATTACAAATAAAGCTGATATGAACATATATGTACAACTCTTTCTGTGAACATATGTTTTCAGTACTTCTGTGTATGTACCTAGGAGTTTCCATAGCCAGATCATATGGAATGTGTATGTTTAGCTTTTTAAGAAACAAAGTTTTTCCCAAAATAGTTTTAATACTTTCTTTTTCACAACAGTATGTTAGAGATCCGGCTGCACACATACTTGTCAACATTTGTAGTAATATTTCATGTGGCTTAATGAATAATGATGTTGAAAGTATTTTCGTATCTTTTTCCTGTGTGTTTGTGTATCTTGTTTGATGAAGTGTCTTCATATATTTTACTTATTTTTTATTAGCTTATTGGTTTTATTTCTGAGTTTTGAGAATTCATTAGCTATTCTGTATCCAAGATCTTTATCACGAGACCTTTATCACAAAATATTTTCTGACAGTCTGTGGTTTGTGTTTCCATTCTCTTAACTATCAAACAGCAGAAGTTTCTAATTTTGATGAATCTAGTTCTTCAACTTTATCTATTATAAATCATAATACTGATGTCAAAACTAAGAAATATTTGTCTAACGTGAGATCATGAAAATTATCTTCTCTATTTTCCTCCAGAAATTTCATAGTTTCAGGTATTACATTTATCTCTATAATTAATTTTGGTTTTTCTAATCCAAGTTATCCTTTTTACACAGTGTCATCAAATTTTTCCAGCACCATTTGTTGAAAATACTAATCTTTTTCATTGAAAATTTTTGCATCCTTTGCCAAAAATTAATTTAACATATATGTATGGGTCCATTTTTAGACTCTATCCTATTCCATTAAACTACTTCTCTTTCTTTAAACCAATGCCACTGAGTCTTGATTACTGAAGCTTTAAAAATAACTCTTAAAGTCAGATATTATAACTTTTCTAACTTTGATCCTCTTCAAAAAATTTTTTTTCATTTTAATCCTTCTCATTTTCATATAAATTTTAGAATAAGCTAGACAAGATCCAAAAAATGTCTTGTTGAGATTTTCAGTGGGGTTGCATTGATTCTATCAACCAATTAGAGAATAACTGACATCTGATACAAATTAATCTTCTGATCTATGAACATTCTGTATCTTTCCATTTATTTAGGTCTTCCTTAATATCTGTCAGCAATGGACTGTTGTGCTTAAGGAGAGAGAGACTTGGAAAAATACAGAGAGGAGGGCCATGTGAAGACAGGGGCAGAGATTGGAGTTGTGCCACCGAAAGCAAAGAATATCAAGTATTGTCAGTAACCACAGGAAGCTGGAAGAGGCCAGGAAAGATTTTTCTTAGAGACCTTGGAAGGAGCTTGACCCTAGAACACCTTGATTTCAGATTTCCGGCCCCCAACAATGTGAAAGAATAAATTTCTATTGTTTTAAGCAATTCAGTTTGCAGTAATTTGTTACAACCCTAGGAAAAGTAATACATATCGATAACATTTATTATTTCCATTTTGCTGACTCTTTCAAGTTCAGTACTTATAAATTTGTCATAGTGAAGAAAGCTTTAAAGGATAAAACTTTGAAAGTATACTCAAATTCTATTAATATGGTTAGCACAATACAGAAAGGAATGTAATTTTTTAAAAAATTAATATAAATTATGACACATCTAACTTTTGTTTTGGAGATTTTATAATGAAAAGTTTATATTTATTAAAATTAATTTAATAGTATAAAGCTCTTATAATATGGTAAAAATCAAAAATAAGTTACATTTACTATAACATAAAAATCCATCACTCACTGAATCAGTGATTTAGCAAACATTAATTGAATATCTGCTATGCACTAGGCACTGTACTAGATCTAAGAGCTAAAGCTCCTTCTTGCACTTATCTACCAAGTAGAAGTTAGAAAGGAGGTACATTATTGGGTAAAGATTATACTGACTGAATCACTGAGCTCTGTCTTTTAATAGTTTCAACTTTTATTTTAGATCTCTGGGGTACATGCGCAGGTTTACTAAATAGATAGATTGTGTAATGCTGAGGTTTGGGATGCAAATCATCCTGTCACCGAGATAGTGAGCATAATTCCCAAAAGTTAGTTTTTCAACCTTTGACTCCATCCTTCCCATTCCCCTCTCTTAGTCCACCGTGTCTGTTGTTGCCATCTTTATGTCCATGAGCACCCAATGTTTAGTTCTCACATATAAGAAAGAATGTGCAGTATTTGGTTTTCTATTCCTGCGTTAATTTTCTTAGAAAAATAGCCTCCACCTGCATCTGTGTTACAAAGAACATGATTTTGTTCTTTTTTATGGCTGCATAGTATTTCAATGGTGTATATGTGCTACATTTTCCTTATCCTATCCACTGTTGATGGGCTCCTACATTAATTCCATATCTTGGTTCTTGTGAATCATGGAGTTCTCTTCATTTCTGAGATTTTATTATTTCACAAGATTAGAGAAGACTTTAGTTTGTAAATTAAATGATTATTAACCATTATTTTCCGAAGGGCTTATTTACAAAATCGCTTGGTTAAGGAGAGGCTAATGAGAAAAACACATGAAGAGAAAGGCCAAAGAAGAGGAAAAAAACACTGTTGAGGCTCCAATGAGAGCAACAAAACAGAAGGAAGGGAACATACTTTTTGAAGAATGTGCCTGAAACTGTGTATGCCTATAATGTAAGGATAAAATGTATTTACCTTACCTGGCAAGTGATGTATCAGCTCACACAGAAATCGAAAACAAATTGGACTGAGCATTTCTTCTGGGTATAGCTTCATCAGTGGAACTTCTGCTCTATTGGATCCATCAACTATGCCTGCCAAAGGTAAGTCAGAAATACCAGCATTGCCGTATGCTCACCTTTACAATACCCTCAGGAAACTGAAGAAAATACACAGCTCTCTAACCTTTGTGGATAGCTTTATATTTATTTTAACTTCTTGGCCTGCTCTATGAAGACACAGCTTAAAATAAAATAAACTTATATCACAGCAAAAATGGGCTAGTTGTTCGATTGTGGGAGTGGCAGATGAGGGAAGATACTGTGATGAGTGGCCAAAACATGTTATCTGAGTACCTGCCTTCTCTCTAGATCAGATAACCACTTGATTTTAAACCATACAGCGTGGATCAAGTCTGTAAACAATTCAATCATTTCAGACATTAAAATTGTCAATATCACTAACACTTTTTGCTTAAAGTTACCTTTGTGACTAAGATCAATGTCTCACCAACCTCATAAATTACCACTTTTCCAATAGCTAAGGCAGTCAGGAGACTAACACTTTTAAAATGAACTTTCAAATACTACAAATAATAACAAAGTTATGATCTGTCATGAAGAAGTATCTAGGGACATTAAATTCAGCATTTAAATCAAGAAACACTTTTCTAAGGGATCATGTATGATTATTTAGGTAAACCTAGTCTCAAGTAAATGTTTCCAAAGTAAATTTTGCACTTAAGAGAGCACATAGAAGGGAAAATCTTTCAAATTTCAGAATTTCACACTTTGTATTTAAGCATTTAAAATAATTTATTTCACGTGATGTTTTGAAGGTCTTGGGTTGGTTTGGATATTTGTTTTTCATTATCACAGCGTCAACTGGCTCCACTCACTGGCTATTTGGTAAAGGGAGGCCATAAACTTGCAGGAGTAGGGGGCGGGGGAGTGTAGATCAGAAAGGTGACCAAACTGAGGCTAGTTATTTTACTACAACTGAATCTTTCGTTATTTTTAATGATAATACTTCAGCTACCTTCTGTTGTATAACTAGCCCTTCTGCATTTAGTCATGCAAAACAATGTGATTTTATTCTTGTTTTATTATTATTCTTTTTGTCG